AACGGCGCCATGGCCTGGAATGGATGTTACATTCGTGATCAGGGCACCGAGAAACCCCATTATGCAAGTTTATACAGATTTTTTTGGGAAAGGTCGTGTCGCCAAAGTGGCGCAAGTGGCGCCTAATGGCGCCAAATGGCGCCACGGCGAGAAATGAATGTCATTTTCGTAAACAGGGCTTTGAGTAGCCCCAGTAATCGAGTTTATACAGACTTTGTTGGAAAAAGTAGTGGCGCCAAGGTGGCGCCAAGTGGCGCCAAAATGGCGCCAGCAAAAAACCAATTTCGTAGAATATGAGCATACCCTCGGATAGAGCTCGGCGAGCTGATTCTAATAATATATGGGTATCCATACAAAAAATCAAAAAGAACAGCTCTATAACGAAAAAACGAAAAAAACGCGGATCGGCGTTTTTTTCGTAAATTTTTGAACACTTACGGTGGGTACTGTAGGTTAAATTGAAACATGAAGCCACGCCTACCCCATCACAGGGATTTCAAGTATAAGTGGAGTAGAAGGCGGGAAGCAGAATCCCAAAAAATTCATTAACGGCGTGCATTCTACTATAGTGTAGTTCATTGCGGACGGTTGGGCGTGTTCGTGCGGCTGCGTTTGGCGCGGTGCCAAACTCGTTCTCCACGAGTTGTTCAAGCGAGCAAATGACAATACTGTATCATACCTTTCGTATTACTTGTTTTCTACTGCTTTTTGTCGCATGCCCGTTTCAACAAGAAGGCAGAGAACAGCTCAAAGAGGGTGACACACTCATACTGGCTGACACGCCCAACCGTCCGCAGCGAAGTAGAGTGTATTTATCTTTTCATTTTTTTGGGAACAGTCAAGTAAAAGCCTATGATTACTAACACTTTTAAAGTGACTGTTGTCTGTTTTAAAGCAGACTCTTTCGAACTGACAGCTAAGGTCAGTATTTCAAAATTCCAAGGTCAGTTTGACTTGCTCAGTAAACAGTCACTAAACTTGTTGCTTTCCAGGTGCTTAGATGTTCCTCAGAAAAAAAAATCAAAAAGAATTGTTTTCCGATTTCTTAGATGTTCCTCAGAAAACCACTAAAAGGAAGTCTGATGTATTTATATCATTTTCACTTAAAATTCACCCTTTTTCAAACCAAATTCACCCTCACTTTTCACATCAAATTAACCACACTTATAAGGGCGGGCAACTCATCAAGCAGATCACGCCAGACATCACTGCGAGCCCCGCCCCGACGGCCACGCCCACTTGTCAGCGCGGACATAGATTCTCAAATCTTGTTTCATAACTTCTGCTTTTGCTGTTTCCCACAAACACTTTGACTGGAAACCACCGTGGCATTCACACATGGCCGACTCC